GGTTGAATACGTCATCTGTAGCCTCCAAAATCGAAAGAAAATGGCATTTCGGAAAAATCGCCCGAAATCGGTGATGGTACTCCTTTGGGATCTGCCAAAAAATTACCCGAAAGATATCCGTCCGAATCGGTGCTTAATGGACTTAAACATCGTTGATGAATAGCCTCAGACCGAATCCGTGATCTGTAGCCTTCATAATCCATGGTAAATGGGCTTTCGAAAAAAATCGTCTAAAATATTACGAAAATACCATCCCATAATAAATTCGCCCAAATCGATGCTTAATAGGATTAATCACCGGCGGAGAATAGGATCAATAGACTTCATTATATGTGGAGAATAGGCTCGGGTTGAATCCGTGATCTGTAGCCTCCAAAATCGAAAGAAAATGGCATTACGGAAAAATCGTCTGATATCGGTGATGGTACCCCTTTAAGATCTGCCAAAAATTGACCCGGAAGATATCCGCCCGAATCGGTGCTTAATGTACTTAATCATCATTGAAGAATAGCCTTAGACCGAATCAGTGATCTGTAGCCTTCAAAATCCATGGTAAATGATCTTTCGTAAAAAATCGTCTATTATATTACGAAAATTCCATCTCAAAATAAATTCGCCCAAATCGATGCTTAAAGGGATTAATCATTGGCGAAGAATAGGATCGATAGACTCCATTATATGTGGAGAATAGCCTCAGGTTGAATCCGTGATCTTTATCCTCCAAAATCGAAAGAAAATGGCATTTCGGAAAAATCGCCCGAAATCGGTGATGGTACCCCTTTGGGATCTGCCAAAAATTGACCCGGAATATATCCGCCCGAATCGGTGCTTAATGGACTTAATCATCGTTGAAGAATAGCCTCAGACCGAATTCGTGATCTGTATCCTTCAAAATCCATGGTAAATGGCATTTCGAAAAAAAAATCGTCTAAAATATTACGAAAATGCATCCCAAAATAAATTCGCCCAAATCGATGCGTAATGGGCTTAATCACCGGCGGAGAATAGGATCAATAGACTTCATTATATGTAGAGAAGAGCCTCGAGTTGAATCCGTGATCTGTAGCCTCCAAAATCGAAAGAAAATGGCATTTCCGAAAAATCGTCTGAAATCGGTGATGGTACCCCTTTAAGATCTGCCAAAAATTGACCCGGAAGATATCCGCCCGAATAGGTGCTTAATGGACTTAATCATCGTTGAAGAATAGCCTTAGACCAAATCAGTGATCTGCAACCTTCAAAACCCATGGTAAATGGGCATTCGAAAAAAATTGTCTAATATATTACGAAAATGCCATCCCAAAATAAATTCGCCCAAATCGATGCTTAAAGGGCTTAATCATTGGCGAAGAATAGGATCGATAGACTTCATTATATGTGGAGAATAGCCTCGGGTTGAATCCGTGATCTTTATCCTCCAAAGTCGAAAGAAAATGGCATTTCGGAAAAATCGCCCCTAATCGGTGATGGTAACCCTTTGGGATGAGCCAAAAATTGACCCGGAAGATTTCCGCCCGAATCGGTGCTTAATGGACTTAATCATCGTTGAAGAATAGCCTCAGACCGAATCCGTGATCTGTAGCTTTCAAAATCCATGGTAAATGGCCTTTCGAAAAAAATCGTCTAAAATATTACGAAAATGCCATCCCAAAATAAATTCGACCAAATCGATGCTTAATGGGCTTAATCATTGGCGGAGAATAGGATCAATAGACTTCATTATATGTGTAGAATAGCCTCTGGTTGAATACATCATCTGTAGCCTCCAAAATCGAAAGAAAATGGCATTTCGGAAAAATCGCCAGAAATCGGTGATGGTACTCCTTTGGGATCTGCCAAAAAATGACCCGGAAGATATCCGCCCGAATCGGTGCTTAATGGACTTAAACATCGTTGAAGAATAGCCACAGACCGAATCCGTGATCAGTAGCCTTTATAATCCATGGTAAATGGGCTTTCCAAAAAATTCGTCTAAAATATTACGAAAATGCCATCCCAAAATAACTTCGCCCAAATCGATGCTTAATGGGCTTAATCAATGGCGGAGAAGAGGATCAAATGACATCATTATATGTGGAGAATAGACTCGGGTTGAATCCGTGATCTGTAGCCTCGAAAATCGAAAGAAAATGGCATTTCGGAAAAATCTCCCGAAATCGGTGATGGTACCCCTTTGGGATCTGCCAAAAATTGACCGGAAGATATCCGCCCGAATCGGTGCTTAATGGACTTAATCATCGTTGAAGAATAGCCTCAGACCGAATCCGTGATTTGTATCCTTCAAAATCCATGATAAATGGCATTTCAAAAAAAATCGTCTAAAATATTACGAAAATGTCATCCCAAAATAAATTCGCCCAAATCGATGCTTAAAGGGCTTAATCATTGGCGAAGAATAGGATCGATGGACTTCATATGTGGAGAGTAGCCTCGGGCTGAATCCGTGATCTTTATCCTCCAAAATCGAAAGAAAATGGCATTTCGGAAAAATCGCCCTAAATCGGTGATGGTAACCCTTTGGGATCAGCCAAAAATTGACCCGGAAGATTTCCGCCCGAATCGGTGCTTAATGGACTTAATCATCGTTGAAGAATAGCCTCAGACCGAATCCGTGATCTGTAGCTTTCAAAATCCATGGTAAATGGCCTTTCGAAAAAAATCGTCTAAAATATTACGAAAATGCCATCCCAAAATAAATTCGCCCAAATCATTGCTTAATGGGCTTAATCATTGGCGGAGAATAGGATCAATAGACTTCATTATATGTGTAGAATAGCCTCTGGTTGAATACGTCATCTGTAGCCTCCAAAATCGAAAGAAAATGGCATTTCGGAAAAATCGCTCGGAATCGGTGATGGTACTCCTTTGGTATCTGCCAAAAAATGACCCGGAAGATATCCGCCCGAATCGGTGCTTAATGGACTTAAACATCGTTGAAGAATAGCCTCAGACCGAATCCGTGATCTGTAGCCTTCATAATCCATGGTAAATGGGCTTTTGAAAAAGATTGTCTAAAATATTACGAAAATGCCATCCCAAAATAACTTCGCACAAATCGATGCTTAATGGGCTTAATCATTGGCGGAGAAGAGGATCAAATGACTTCATCATATGTGGAGAATAGCCTCGGGTTGAATCCGTGATCTGTACCCTCCAAAATCGAAAGAAAATTGCATTTCGGAAAAATCACCCGAAATCGGTGATGGTACCCCTTTGGGATTTGCCAAAAATTGACCCGGAAGATATCCGCCCGAATCGGTGCTTAATGGACTTAATCATCGTTGAAGAATAGCCTCAGACCGAATCCGTGATCTGTATCCTTCTAAATCCATGGTATGTGGCATTTCGAAAAAAAATCGTCTAAAATATTACGAAAATGCCATCCCATAATAAATTCGCCCAAATCGATGTTTAATGGGATTAATCACTGGCGAAGTATAGGATCAATAGACTTCATTATATGTGGAGAATAGGCTCGGGTTGAATCTGTGATCTGTAGCCTCCAAAATCGAAAGAAAATGGCATTTCGGAAAAATCGTCAGAAATCGGTGATGGTACCCCTATAAGATCTGCCAAAAATTGACCCGGAAGATATCCGCCCGAATCGGTGCTTAATGGACTTAATCATCGTTGAAGAATAGCCTTAGACCGAATCTGTGATCTGTATCCTTCTAAATCCATGGTAAATGGCATTGCGAAAAAAAAATCGTCTCAAATATTACGAAAATGCCATCCCAAATTAAATTCGCCCAAATCGATGCTTAATGGGATTAATCACTGGCGGAGAATAGGATCAATAGACTTCATTATATGTGGAGAATAGCCTCGGGTTGAATCCGTGATCTTTATCCTCCAAAATCGAAAGAAAATGGCATTTCGAAAAAATAGTCTGAAATCGGTGATGGTACCCCTTTAAGATCTGCCAAAAATTGTCCCAGAAGATATCCGCCCGAATCGGTGCTTAATGGACTTAATCATCGTTGAATAATAGCTTCAGACAGAATTCGTGATATGTATCCTTCAAAATCCTTGGTAAATGGCATTTTGAAAAAAAATCGTCTAAAATATTTCGAAAGGGCCATCCCAAAATAAATTCGCCCAAATCGATGCTTAATGGGCTTAATCACCGGCGGAGAATAGTATCAATGGACTTCATTATATGTGGAGAATAGCCTCGGGTTGAATCCGTGATCTGTAGCCTCCAAAATCGAAAGAAAATGGCATTTCCGAAAAATCGTCTGAAATCGGTGATGGTGCCCCTTTAAGATCTGCCAAAAATTGACCCGGAAGATATCCGCCCGAATCGGTGCTTAATGTACTTAATCATCGTTGAAGAATAGCCTTAGACCGAATCAGTGATCTGTAGCCTTCAAAATCCATGGTAAATGATCTTTCGTAAAAAATCGTCTATTATATTACGAAAATTCCATCTCAAAATAAATTCGCCCAAATCGATGCTTAAAGGGATTAATCATTGGCGAAGAATAGGATCGATAGACTCCATTATATGTGGAGAATAGCCTCAGGTTGAATCCGTGATCTTTATCCTCCAAAATCGAAAGAAAATGGCATTTCGGAAAAATCGCCCGAAATCGGTGATGGTACCCCTTTGGGATCTGCCAAAAATTGACCCGGAATATATCCGCCCGAATCGGTGCTTAATGGACTTAATCATCGTTGAAGAATAGCCTCAGACCGAATTCGTGATCTGTATCCTTCAAAATCCATGGTAAATGGCATTTCGAAAAAAAAATCGTCTAAAATATTACGAAAATGCATCCCAAAATAAATTCGCCCAAATCGATGCGTAATGGGCTTAATCACCGGCGGAGAATAGGATCAATAGACTTCATTATATGTAGAGAAGAGCCTCGAGTTGAATCCGTGATCTGTAGCCTCCAAAATCGAAAGAAAATGGCATTTCCGAAAAATCGTCTGAAATCGGTGATGGTACCCCTTTAAGATCTGCCAAAAATTGACCCGGAAGATATCCGCCCGAATAGGTGCTTAATGGACTTAATCATCGTTGAAGAATAGCCTTAGACCAAATCAGTGATCTGCAACCTTCAAAACCCATGGTAAATGGGCATTCGAAAAAAATCGTCTAATATATTACGAAAATGCCATCCCAAAATAAATTCGCCCAAATCGATGCTTAAAGGGCTTAATCATTGGCGAAGAATAGGATCGATAGACTTCATTATATGTGGAGAATAGCCTCGGGTTGAATCCGTGATCTTTATCCTCCAAAGTCGAAAGAAAATGGCATTTCGGAAAAATCGCCCCTAATCGGTGATGGTAACCCTTTGGGATGAGCCAAAAATTGACCCGGAAGATTTCCGCCCGAATCGGTGCTTAATGGACTTAATCATCGTTGAAGAATAGCCTCAGACCGAATCCGTGATCTGTAGCTTTCAAAATCCATGGTAAATGGCCTTTCGAAAAAAATCGTCTAAAATATTACGAAAATGCCATCCCAAAATAAATTCGACCAAATCGATGCTTAATGGGCTTAATCATTGGCGGAGAATAGGATCAATAGACTTCATTATATGTGTAGAATAGCCTCTGGTTGAATACATCATCTGTAGCCTCCAAAATCGAAAGAAAATGGCATTTCGGAAAAATCGCCAGAAATCGGTGATGGTACTCCTTTGGGATCTGCCAAAAAATGACCCGGAAGATATCCGCCCGAATCGGTGCTTAATGGACTTAAACATCGTTGAAGAATAGCCACAGACCGAATCCGTGATCAGTAGCCTTTATAATCCATGGTAAATGGGCTTTCCAAAAAATTCGTCTAAAATATTACGAAAATGCCATCCCAAAATAACTTCGCCCAAATCGATGCTTAATGGGCTTAATCAATGGCGGAGAAGAGGATCAAATGACATCATTATATGTGGAGAATAGACTCGGGTTGAATCCGTGATCTGTAGCCTCGAAAATCGAAAGAAAATGGCATTTCGGAAAAATCTCCCGAAATCGGTGATGGTACCCCTTTGGGATCTGCCAAAAATTGACCGGAAGATATCCGCCCGAATCGGTGCTTAATGGACTTAATCATCGTTGAAGAATAGCCTCAGACCGAATCCGTGATTTGTATCCTTCAAAATCCATGATAAATGGCATTTCAAAAAAAATCGTCTAAAATATTACGAAAATGTCATCCCAAAATAAATTCGCCCAAATCGATGCTTAAAGGGCTTAATCATTGGCGAAGAATAGGATCGATGGACTTCATATGTGGAGAGTAGCCTCGGGCTGAATCCGTGATCTTTATCCTCCAAAATCGAAAGAAAATGGCATTTCGGAAAAATCGCCCTAAATCGGTGATGGTAACCCTTTGGGATCAGCCAAAAATTGACCCGGAAGATTTCCGCCCGAATCGGTGCTTAATGGACTTAATCATCGTTGAAGAATAGCCTCAGACCGAATCCGTGATCTGTAGCTTTCAAAATCCATGGTAAATGGCCTTTCGAAAAAAATCGTCTAAAATATTACGAAAATGCCATCCCAAAATAAATTCGCCCAAATCATTGCTTAATGGGCTTAATCATTGGCGGAGAATAGGATCAATAGACTTCATTATATGTGTAGAATAGCCTCTGGTTGAATACGTCATCTGTAGCCTCCAAAATCGAAAGAAAATGGCATTTCGGAAAAATCGCTCGGAATCGGTGATGGTACTCCTTTGGTATCTGCCAAAAAATGACCCGGAAGATATCCGCCCGAATCGGTGCTTAATGGACTTAAACATCGTTGAAGAATAGCCTCAGACCGAATCCGTGATCTGTAGCCTTCATAATCCATGGTAAATGGGCTTTTGAAAAAGATTGTCTAAAATATTACGAAAATGCCATCCCAAAATAACTTCGCACAAATCGATGCTTAATGGGCTTAATCATTGGCGGAGAAGAGGATCAAATGACTTCATCATATGTGGAGAATAGCCTCGGGTTGAATCCGTGATCTGTACCCTCCAAAATCGAAAGAAAATTGCATTTCGGAAAAATCACCCGAAATCGGTGATGGTACCCCTTTGGGATTTGCCAAAAATTGACCCGGAAGATATCCGCCCGAATCGGTGCTTAATGGACTTAATCATCGTTGAAGAATAGCCTCAGACCGAATCCGTGATCTGTATCCTTCTAAATCCATGGTATGTGGCATTTCGAAAAAAAATCGTCTAAAATATTACGAAAATGCCATCCCATAATAAATTCGCCCAAATCGATGTTTAATGGGATTAATCACTGGCGAAGTATAGGATCAATAGACTTCATTATATGTGGAGAATAGGCTCGGGTTGAATCTGTGATCTGTAGCCTCCAAAATCGAAAGAAAATGGCATTTCGGAAAAATCGTCAGAAATCGGTGATGGTACCCCTATAAGATCTGCCAAAAATTGACCCGGAAGATATCCGCCCGAATCGGTGCTTAATGGACTTAATCATCGTTGAAGAATAGCCTTAGACCGAATCTGTGATCTGTAGCCTACAAAATCCATGGTAAATGATCTTTCGAAAAAAATCGTCTAATATATTACGAAAATGCCATCCCAAAATAAATTCGCCCAAATCTATGCTTAAAGGAATTAATCATTGGCGAAGAATAGGATCGATAGACTCCATTATATGTGGAGAATAGCCTCGGGTTGAATCCGTGATCTTTATCCTCTAAAATCGAAAGAAAATGGCATTTCGGAAAAATCGCCCGAAATCGGTGATGGTACCCCTTTGGGATCTGTCAAAAATTGACCCGAAATATATCCGCCTGAATCGGTGCTTAATGGACTTAATCATCGTTGAAGAATAGCCTCGGACCGAATTCTTGATCTGTATCCTTCAAAATCCCTTGTAAATGGCATTTCAAAAAAAAAATCGTCTAAAATATTACGAAAATGCCATCCCAAAATAAATTCGCCCAAATCGATGCTTAATGGGCTTAATCACCGGCGGAGAATTGGATCAATAGACTTCATTATATGTAGAGAATAGCCTCGAGTTGAATCTGTGATCTGTAGCGTCCAAAATCGAAAGAAAATGGCATTTCCGAAAAATCGTCTGAAATCGGTGATGGTGCCCCTTTAAGATCTGCCAAAAATTGACCCGGAAGATATCCGCCCGAATCGGTGCTTAATGGACTTAATCGTCGTTGAAGAATAGCCTTAGACCGAATCAGTGATCTGCAGCCTTCAAAATCCATGGTAAATGGGCTTTCGAAAAAAATCGTCTAATATATTACGAAAATGCCATCCCAAAATAAATTCGCCCAAATCAATGCTTAAAGGGCTTAATCATTGGCGAAGAATAGGATCGATAGACTTCATTATATGTGGAGAATATCCTCGGGTTGAATCCGTGATCTTTATCCTCCAAAATCGAAAGAAAATGGCATTTCGGAAAAATCGCCCGAAATCGGTGATGGCCCTTTGGGATCTGCCAAAAATTGACCCGGAAGATATCCGCTCGAATCGGTGCTTAATGGACTTAATCATCGTTGAAGAATACCCTCAGACCGAATCCGTGATCTGTATCCTTCTAAATCCATGGTAAATGGCATTGCGAAAAAAAAATCGTCTCAAATATTACGAAAATGCCATCCCAAATTAAATTCGCCCAAATCGATGCTTAATGGGATTAATCACTGGCGGAGAATAGGATCAATAGACTTCATTATATGTGGAGAATAGCCTCGGGTTGAATCCGTGATCTTTATCCTCCAAAATCGAAAGAAAATGGCATTTCGAAAAAATAGTCTGAAATCGGTGATGGTACCCCTTTAAGATCTGCCAAAAATTGTCCCAGAAGATATCCGCCCGAATCGGTGCTTAATGGACTTAATCATCGTTGAATAATAGCTTCAGACAGAATTCGTGATATGTATCCTTCAAAATCCTTGGTAAATGGCATTTTGAAAAAAAATCGTCTAAAATATTTCGAAAGGGCCATCCCAAAATAAATTCGCCCAAATCGATGCTTAATGGGCTTAATCACCGGCGGAGAATAGTATCAATGGACTTCATTATATGTGGAGAATAGCCTCGGGTTGAATCCGTGATCTGTAGCCTCCAAAATCGAAAGAAAATGGCATTTTGGAAAAATCGCCCGAAATCGGTGATGGTACCCCTTTGGGATCTGCCAAAAATTGACCCGGAAGATATCCGCCCGAATCGGTGCTTAATGGACTTAATCATCGTTGAAAAATAGTCTCAGACCGAATCTGTGATCTGTATCCTTCTAAATCCATGGTAAATGGCATTTCGGAAAAAAAATCGTCTAAAATATTACGAAAATGCCATCGCAAAATAAATTCGCCCAAATCGATGCTTAATGGGCTTAATCATTGGCGGAGAATATGATCAATAGACTTCATTATATGTGGAGAATAGCCTCGTGTTGAATCCGTGATCTGTAGCCTTCAAAATGGAAAGAAAATGGCATTTCGGAAAAATCGACCCAAATCAGTGATGGTACCCCTTTGGGATCTGCCAAAAATTGACCCAGAAGATATCTGTCAGAATCTGTGCTTAATGGACTTACACATCATTGAAGAATAGCCTCAGACCGAATCCTTGATCTGTAGCCTTCAAAATGCCTGGTAAATGGCCTTTCGAAAAAAATCTTCTAAAATATTACGAAAATGCCATCCAAAAATAAATTCACCCAAATCGATCTTTGATCTGTAGCCTCCAAAATCAACTTCATTATATGTGGAGAATAGCCTCGGGTTGAATCCGTGATCTGTAGCCTCCAAAATCGAAAGAAAATGGCATTTCGGAAAAATCGCCTGAAATCGGGGATGGTACATCTTTGGGATCTGCCAAAAATTGACCCGGAAGATATCGGCCCAAATCAGTGCTTAATGGACTTAATCATCGTTGAAGAATAGCCTCAGACCGAATCCGTGATCTGTAGCCTTCAAAATCCATGGTAAATGTCCTTTCGAAAAAAATTGTCCAAAATTTTACGAAAATGTCATCCCAAAATAAATTCGCCCAAATCGATGCTTAATGGGCTTAATCATTGGCGGAGAATAGGATCAATAGACTTCATTATATGTGGATAATAGCCACGGGTTGAATCCGTGATCTGTAGCCTCCAAAATCGAAAGAAAATAGCATTTCCGAAAAATCGCCCAAAATCGGTGATGGTAACCCTTCGGGATCTGCCAAAAATTGACCCCGAAGATATCTGCCCGAATCGGTGCTTAATGGACTTAATCATCGTTGAAGAATAGCCTAAGACCGAATCTGTGATCTGTAGGCTTCAAAATCCATGGTAAATGGCCTTTCGAAAAAAATCGTCTAAAATATTACGAAAATGCCATCCAAAAATAAATTCGCCCAAATCGATGCCTAATGGCTTAATCATTGGCGGAGAATAGGATCAATAGACTTCATTATATGTGGAGAATAGCCTCGTGTTGTATCTGTGATCTGTAGCCTCCAAAATTGAAAGAAAATTGCATTTCGGAAAAATCTACCGAAATCGGTGATGGTACCCCGAAGGGATCTGCCAAAAATTGACCCGGAAGATTCCGCACGAATCTGTGCTTAAAGGACTTAATCATCGTTGAAGAATAGCCGCAGACCGAATCTGTGATCCTTAGCCTTCAAAATCCAGGGTAAATGGCCTTTTGATAAAAATCGTCTGAAATATTACGAAAATACCATCCCAAAATAGATTCGCCCAAATCGATGCTTAATGGGCTTAATCATTGGCGGAGAATAGGATCAATAGACTTCATTATATGTAGAAAACAGCCTCAGGTTGAATCCGTGATCTGTAGCCTCCAAAATCGAAAGAAAATGGCATTTCGGAATAATTGCCCGAAATCGGTGATGGTACCCCCTTTGGGATCTGCCAAAAATTGACCCGGAAGATATCCGCCCAAATCAGTGCTTAATGGACTTAATCATCGTTGAAGAATACCCTCAGACCGAATCCCTGATCTGTAGCCTTCAAAATCCATGGTAAATAGCCTTTCGAAAAAATCGTCTAAAATATTACGAAAATGCCATCGCAAAATAAATTCGCCCAAATCGATACTTAATGGGCTTAATCATTGGCGGAGAATAGGATCAATAGACTTCATTATATGTGGATAATATCCTCGGGTTGAATATGTGATCTGTAGCCTCCAAATTCGAAAGAAAATGGCATTTCGGAAAAATCGCCCGAAATCGGTGATGGTACCCCTTTGGGATCTGCCAAAAATTAACCCGGAAGATATCCGCCCGAATCGGTGCTTAATGGATTTAATCATCGTTAAAGAATAGCTTCAGGCCGAATCCGTGATTTGTAGCCTTCAAAATCAACGGAAAATGGCCTTTCGAAAAACAATCGCCCAAAGAATTACGAAAATGCCATCCCAAAATAAATTGACACAATTTTGTGCTTAATGAACTTAATTTTTGGTGGAGAATAGGACCAATAGACTTCATTATCGGTGGAGAATATCCTCGAAAAAAATCCGTGTTCTGTAGCCTCCAAAATCGAAAGAAAATAACATTTCGGAAAAATCGCCTGAAATCTGTGATGGTACCCCTTTGGAATCTGCCAAAAATGGACCCGGAAGAAATCAGCGAAATTCCATGCTTAGTGGACATAATCGTCGTTGAAGAATAGCCTATGGTCGAATCCGTGATCTGTAGCCTTCAAAATAAAAGGAAAATGGTCTTTCAAAAAACAACGGCCCAAAGAATTATGAAATGCCATCCCAAAATAAATTGGCCCAATTCTGTGCTTAATGAACTTAATTATTGGTGAAGAATAGGACCAATAGACTTCGTTATCGGTGGAGAATAGCCTCGAACTGAATTCGTGATCTGTAGCACCCAAAATCAAAAGAAAATAGCATTTTTGGAAAATCGCCTGAAATCTGTGATGTTACCTCTTTGGAATCTGTCAAAAATGGACCCAGAAGAAATCAGCCAAAATCCGTACTTAGTGAACATAATCATCGTTGAAGAATAGTCTCAGGCCGAATCCGTGATCTGTAGCCTTCAAAATCAACGAAAATCGCCCAAAGAATTTCGAAAATGTCATCCCAAAATAAATTAGCACAATTCTGTGCTTAATGGACTGAGTTATTGGTGGAGAATAGGATCTATAGACTTGATTATCGGTGGAGAATAGCCTCGAACTGAATCCATGATCTGTAGCCTCCTAAATCAAAAGAAAATAACATTTCGGAAAAATCGCACGAAATCTATGTAGTACTCCTTTGGAATCTGCAAAAAATGGAGCGGGAAAAAGTCCGCCCAAATCCGTGCTTAGTGGACTTAATCGTCGTTGAAGAATAGCCTCAGGCCAAATCCGTGATCTGTAGCCTTCAAACTCAAAGGAAAATGACCTTTCGAAAAACAATCGCCCAAAGAATTATGAAAATGTCATCCCAAAGTAAATTGGCCCAATTCTGAGCTTAATATGGACTTAATTATTTGTGTGGAATAGGATCAATAGACTTCATTATCGGTGGAGAATAGTCTCGAACTAAATCCGTGACATGTAGCCTCCAAAATCAAACGAAAATGGTATTTCGGAAAAATCGCCCAAAAAACTAAGCTTTACACTTTTGAAATCTGCAAAAAATGGACTCGGAAGAAATCCGCTCAATTCCGTGAAAATCAAGTGAGAAATATCACGATTAAGAAAAAATGATTGCACTTTGTATATGCTACCCCTTACCATATCAGTTCATGTCTTTGAGTCGTCCAACACCAATTTCACGAACAAATTTTACAAAAATTGTCTTCGAGAGAGAATTGGTGAAGAAATCTGCTTGATTTTTGCTCGAACAAATTTTTTGAACAATTATTTCACTACTATTTTATTGGAATGGAATATAGTATTATTTATCTCTTTTAATGTATCATTCCTTTAAATGAGCAATATATTTTCGAATGGTGATCACGTATAGAATTTTAACCAAACACATTCATGACTTTTTTCACTTGTCTATCTAACTAAATCTTCAAATGCCTGCATACCTTTTGTGCAGGACCTTTAATTTCGAGGTGGCTTCTCGCTGGTTGCGACACACCCTTGCTCGTGTAGCTCCATTGATCTCTACTTGTACCCTCCAACACTTTCATACTCAAACACTAGTCCCTTTGATCTCTGATTGATAATTCATATTTTTCAATCACGCACGTGAACATACCCAATAATAGCAAAAACTTAAACTCCATCATTCATTGCTCAAAACCGTCAAATCTGTCGTGACCAACATCGAATCATGCAATTTCAACTTACCATATCGAAACTTAACACGCATTTATTATTCTTCCTTTTCTTTTCTAATTTTAATGACACTCTCAAAATAGTACAACATCACAATATATAATAATAAAAACGCAAAATGTTGGTAGAATTTGAACACTCTAGCAAAAGGAAAGATCATGCACGACGCAGTCGATCAATCAGCTTTAATTTGTAGTGTTGTGTCCCCCTTAACTGTCTGTCTATATATCAGCCCTCATGAACTTGACCACAAAAGGGCGGTCTTCGGTGAGAGCAAGCCTTCTGACCCCATTCTCGTCAACGAACACCCCGACGTCCTTACACTTGATCTTGCAAGACTTGCACACGCCCGGACAGTGCACCAGCTTGTAGTTGTAATTATTAACTCCGTACTTGACGATCTTGAACCAATCCTCCACCGTCCTCGCCCCTGGCTTCCCTTCCACCCCGCCGGTCCCCACAAACCACTGCTCCACGTCATCGTCGTACTCCTCCACCTTCCACACCCCGCCTTCCTCGCAAGCGTCGGTCGTGGTGAACTCGATGTTCAAGTCCGTGGAGGTGCGGACGATGTAGCCGAGCTTCGTGGCCACGGGGAGGAATGAGAGCGGGGAGCCGTTGGAGTCCGCGTGCCGGTCCTGGATCACCGAGAGCGGACACGTGGAGGTGGCTGATAGGCTGCTCATCCCCACGCCGCCGGCATGCGTGGTGGTGTTGGCTGGGATGATGTAGTAGCTGCCCCCGGCTTTGACGGTCTTGCCCTCGATGTCCAGGATAGGAACCGGCGGGCCGGCGGATACCGCGGCGTCCGGGAAGTACTGGACGTCGTGGTCGTCGGCGGCCAGGAGACGTCGTGCGGTGGGGGAGGCGGCGGAGGGAGATGAGGGGAAGTTGTGGAGTAGTAGTAATAGTAACACTAGTAGTGTTGGACTAGCCGCGGCGGCCATGTTTTTCTTTTCTCCTATATAGTGGATGTTTTGGTTTTCGTTATGTATTCAAGAATAGCCTTTACTGATGATGAGATGAGTGCAGGAGATGGAAGGAACGATTATGTACTTATAGTTGGGGATGGCAGGCAATAGGGTGGGTAGGTCAAAGATTCTTACTTAGATTGTGCATGATGTGGGTTAGGTTGAGTAACATTATGGATCGAGATAGATCGGTCGTCTATTCTTTTTTAGGATTTGAAAAAAAATATATGCAATATTTTTATGTTCAATATGAAATCTAAATGAGAAACATGCAAGAAACAATAAATGATTAAATGATTATACATGATTAATAAACATGCTTATATTAATTAATAAAAATATTCAAATTAACGTACATACGAATGAATATTATTGAGATAAAATAGATTATGACGTCAAAATGGCTGGCCACATGTTTTATTGACTCTTGGTCCATTTTGGAGTCTGATATTGGGGTGGGGAGAGATCCATACAACATGTGTTATACATATTGTAATGTGAAAATGGGTGAAAATTCCAAAACAAAGAGTTACAAGTCCAAGTATTCTAAGGAGCAAGTTGATTTGGGAGTGTAGTTCCATTCTAGAAGAGAAGGGGTCCAAGTTGAGTGATGAAGTCTTTTCAGGGTGAAAGCATATTGCATTATCGAATTAATTATTAGTCATATGAGCGAAGACTAGCTAAGACCAAATGGTGTGCTGAAGAAAAGAAGAAAAAAAGTTTCAGATGGGAAAAGTTAGTTACTAAACCACAAATCATTCTGATAAGCATCTCCATCATCAGTCAATGGGCCTTTTTCGTTGGAAATCTACCAATTCCCATCCAACTTTATGAGAAATTAATTATTGGTTCTGGTAACAACTTAATTGCATGGACTGTGGGCTTGTCTAGAATTAAAGTACTAGCTAGCTAGCAACCAGTAATAGTAGTGATGGGATGGTAATGGGTCGGGCAGGCGGGTAACTCAAATCTCATGCTCCGTCTCACGTTACTACGGGGCGGGGCGGGCGGGTAAAACTCGAGTGGATACGGGGCGGGGCGGGTCAACCCACTCTTATATGTTATTCGGGGAAAAATACACTCAAATTTTACTTTTTACGATATAATTAACGAAGGGAAAAACACTTTATGAATGAAAAATAGTGATAATAGAATGGGTAATTGAGTCTTACAAGTTGAAAAATCGACTCTAACTAGTTGAAGAAAAGTCAAAATAGGAAAAATATGTATAGATACTATAAGAAATTGAGATAAAATGAGCCTAGAACAGGGCGGGGAGGGGCCAGACAGGTAGGAAGTAGATACCCATGTCCGCTCCACGGTACTATGAGTCGGGTAATACCCGTCTAATCACGGGTCAAGTCGGGTAATACCCGCGGAGCAGGTTGAAATTGCATCACTACCCAATAGATTATTAATTTAGGCATTAATACCGTGGCTGTACATGAAATATCCACTTGCTGATAATTTAATCCTTCCCATTTTAGCAATAAAATTGAATTGATTAGGATAGATTCGCAAATAGTTTGATTTAGTTGCGATAGATTCTGATAGAACTGCAAAGACTTCTTATTAGTTTTGATTTTGGTTGCATCTTAAAATATACAAAGAAAGTAAGAAATAATTGAATACCATTTTAACTAATTAATTCCATTCTCATTTCCCGACATTTTCAATTCAATTTCTAAGTTAAATCAAGTTGAATACAATAGTATAGTCCAATTTCCATCTTCATATTTCTAAAAAAAATCTATTATCAAAATCAAATTAATCCATATTGGACTGGACTGGACTAGTTGGCTCATGCACGCTTGTTGTTCTTCTCTTTCCCACTTCGGATAAATTAATTGCGACTACCCTTGATGTCCCAATTCGGTTTGATCATGGGCCAAGCCATAGGCCCACATTATTGTGTTTTCGTGACACATTGATAAGTAAAGATTACTGTACAACATTGTATTTTTTTATAACTAGCCTGAAATTTTATTAATTCAAAATGTGGGTATTACAATCAGCTTTGAGTTGGTTCAACAGGAAAATCAGAGGATGGTCGAACCATATTTATGTTTCTTCCTAGCGGCATCTCACCTTGGTCATTTGGTTAGCCGCTTCATTCCCTTTCCTCCCTCAGAATCGCACACGGATCTCCATTTCTTCCCTCATCAAATTTCTTTTCTCTGAACAAATTGTTTCGATTTCCATCTATGTTCGATCTTCCTCATGGATCTTCCTTATCACCGACAATCAATCGTTTTAATTATATAATCAATCATTTTATTATTTCTCTTATTATATAATCAATGTTTTACTATTTGTTCAATCTCCTGCTACAAGGAGTTAATCATTGTTATGGTTTTATTCGCTCTACTTTATCTTCATCCAGCTCAAACTTTAAGTAGAAAACCTTTTTTTTTTTTTTTTCATTAAACAAAAGTAACGAATGCGCACACACAAGAAAGAGTAAAAACAACCATTGATCATTTATGATCAATTATTCATCAAAGCAACAAGCAAACCGATTGATCATGAGCTTACACTATTGTGCAATTGGCTCTTATTATGGCTGACGCTATATTAGCTAGCTAGCTAGCTAGCAGAGAGCACACTAGATAAAATTCTTTGACGCCACTTTCAGTAATTAGTTCAATTGGTAGCCTTCATGAACTTAACCACCAAAGGCTCGTCACTAAGAGCAAGCCTCTTCTTCCCGTACTCGTCCTCAAACACTCCCACGTCCTTGCAGTCGACTTTGCAATGCTTGCACACAGAAGGGCAATACACGAGCTTGTAGTTCCCACCAAACTTGGCAATCTTGAACCAGTTCTCGACCGTCCTAGGACCAGTTCTTCTTCGGGTTCATTCTCTCCCTCATACGGGTCGTTCGGTCTCTCATTGTAACTCATGTTTGTCTAATAAGAGTCATAAACTTCCTTTTGGGGATTCCAGTCTGTCTAGTAGTCGTCCCTTTGATCTCTTGTTTTCCGATGTTTGGGGGCCTGCTCCAGTATGTTCTGTCGATGGCTACTCTTATTATCTTGTTATTGTTGATCATTTTACTCGCTACACATGGATTTACCCTCTCAAATTCAAATCTGATGTCTTGTCTGTTTTTCTTGCTTTTAAAAAGCTAGTTGAAAATTACTTCCAGACCTCTATTCGCAGATTCTATACCGATGGTGGGGGTGAGTTTCAAAAACTTAAATCTGATCTCTTGGCTCATGGTATTACGCATCTACTCACCCCTCCATATACTCCTGAGCATAACGGGCTCTCCGAACGCAAACATCGACATATCGTTGAAACCGGTATTACTCTGCTCCATCAAGCTAATCTTCCGTTGTCCTATTGGTCGTATGCCTTCACTACAGCTGTCTATCTTATTAACCGTCTACCATCATCGTCACTTCGTGGTCAAATACCTTTCACTGTCCTGTTCAATGAAGCTCCTAATTACTCCAAACTTCGTGTCTTTGGCTGTCTCTGTTACCCTTGGTTGCGTCCCTATAGCTCTAACAAGCTTGAGCCTCGTTCTCGTCCTTGTGTTTTTCTTGGTTACTCCCACCAACAAAGCGCATATCGTTGTCTTGATCCTCAGTCCGGTCGTGTGTTTCTTTCGCGTCATGTACTGTTTCTGGAATCTAAGTTCCCAGGTGTTTCATCTATGTCTCCACCACATTCTGCCGAGTCCACCTCCATGACTTGGCTTGCCTCTATGTCTCCTCCTGTTTCATTCCTCCCATGCAGGCCACGTGATTCAGCTCCTTCCATGCAGCCCTTGTCACCTGTTCCGCGGTCTGGTACGCCTCCCTCTAGCTCTCCTTCCTTGGATCCGTCAGCATCTACTTCAACATCCACCTCGGCATCACCCTCGCCCAGCTCGTCGCCGCCCGCTTCTTCGCCGGCTCCTGCTCCTTGCCATCCCATGACAACACGAGCTAAGAACAACATTGTTAAGCCTAACAAGAAGTATGTTAATGTTGTTTTCTCGCAGGATGCTCCTCCTCTTGAACCGAGCTCTGTCAAGGAGGCCATGCGTTATGATGTATGGCGCAATGCTCTTCACACTGAACACAATGCTCTTTTGGCCAACTACACGTGGGATCTTGTTCCCAGGCTACCTCACTATAATGTCATCGGTTCGCGCTGGGTGTATAAGGTCAAGTGGTTACCGGATGGCTCTATTGAACGTCACAAATGTCGGCTTGTTGCGAAAGGTTTTCATCAGCGGGCTGGTGTGGATTATCACGAGACTTTCAGTCCGGTTCTGAAACCAGTCACAGTTCGTACGGTGTTCACCTTGGCTTTGTCTTCGCATTGGCCTATTTTTCAGTACGATGTTAATAATGCGTTCCTTCAGGGTCCTCTTCAAGAGGAGGTTTACATGTCCCAGCCGCCAGGTTTCCGGGATCCGAAGTTTCCACATCATGTTTGTCGACTACGACGTGCCATCTATGGCCTTCGTCAAGCTCCTCGCGCTTGGTATGAGGCGCTGAGTTCTTTCTTGCTCTCGTGTGGCTTCGTCAAAACCGCCTCTGATGCCTCTCTCTTTGTTTACTCGCATGACGGCGTTCTGGTTTACTTTCTCATGTACGTTGATGACTTGCTCCTAACCGGCAACAATGCCGCATTCTTGTCTGCCTTTCAATCCAAGCTCTCGGATCGCTTCTCGCTCAAGCATTTGGGACATGTGCACTACTTTCTTGGCATTGAAATCATTCCCAATTCAGCTGGCTTCCTCCTGTCGCAGCACAAGTACGTCACAGACCTTCTTACCCGCTTTCAAATGCATGAGGCGGCCCCTGCCCCGACTCCGCTTGCTTCTACCGCTCGGCTTACACTGGCTGATGGTTCTTCCCCGGCGGATGCCACTTTGTATCGACAAGTCCTAGGGGCGCTTCAATATCTTGTCACTACTCGTCCGGATATTGCTTTCTCTGTCAACAAGTTATCTCAGTACATGCATTCTCCTACCTCGACACATTGGCAGCATGTTAAGAGGCTCCTGCGTTACATAGCTGGTACACGCACTGTGGGTCTTCAGATTCGTCGTCAGTCCTTGCCTCTTTCACTTCGTATCTTCTCCGACTCTGACTGGGCTGGTGATGTGGATGACCGTACCTCGACTTCTGGCTTTCTCATCTATCTCGGTGATACTTTACTCTCCTGGAAGTCCAAGAAATAGCGTACTGTTGCTCGTTCCAGTACGGAGGCGGAGTATCGGGCTCTTGCCCTTGCTACTTCTGAAGCTGTCTGGATTCAAAATCTTCTCTCTGAGCTCCACTATCCGCTGCCCCGTGCTCCTCTTCTTTTCTGTGATAACCTTGGTGCAGTCAACTTCAGTTCCAATCCTGTTTTTCATTCTCGTATGAAACATTTGGCGTTGGACTATCACTTCGTGCGTCAGCTTGTTCAGTCGAACCAGCTTGTTGTTCAACATCTCCCTACTGCTAGTCAGCTCGCCGATTTGCTCACCAAAGCTCTTCCCGTTACCCGTTATCGACTTCTCACTTCCAAGCTGGGTCTTGCTGACGCCGCCTCCATCTTGCGGGGGCGTATAAGGAAGAATTCCTAGTTCTAGTCTCACTTGTAGTCCTTGTCCTTGTATTAATCGTTGTTCATTCTCCTAGTCCTAGTAGTATTCTACAATTGTACCTGCTGTAATCCTGGGTATATATATACCCCTTGTTAATGCAATACAACACATGGTTCATACCTTTCACGGGCTTCCCTTCAATCCCACCCGTCCCGACGAACCTCTGTCCCAGGTCATGGTCGTAGCTCTCCACCTTCCACACCGTAGCTTCGTCACAGGCAGTCTCCGTCGCGAACTCGATGTTGAGGTCTATGCTCGTGCGGACGGTGTAGCCTGGCTTGGCGTTGAGAGGAAGAAACACGACGGGAAGGCCCTTGGAGAGGTCGTAGTTGTCTTGGAACACGGAAAGTGGGCATTTCTTGGTCTTGGTTCGGTCCAGGGCTACACCTCCTCCATGTCCAGAGACGGATGGGAGGATGAAGTAGTTGAGGCCGGAGCGAACAGTGGCGCCATCCACGTCGGTGACAGGGATGGGAGACGAGGACGGCGGCGAAGCTGCTAGTGAGATCGGTACTTGTGTTGAGGCTAGGGTGGCTAGGAGGAGGAAGAAGGAAGCTACTATGGGAACTGTTGTGGGCTTCATTTTGTTAACTCTTCGATCTTCGGTTATGATATATGTGTCTTGGATTAATTAGGTGAGCGGATGGTGATGAGGAAGTTTGGGTGAAAGGAGATGTGAAATTTATAGGGTACCTAGTTTTGATTGTAAGGATGTATGGGAGAGTACACTTGATGGGCAAGCACATTGGAAGCTTTGATATGGTTGAACATTTGATGGAATCTAATCGGGCCAAGTAGGTAAATAAGCACTAACGGCCAACTGGTTAGACCTAACAGTAATTCTAATTCAGCTGGCTGGTCTAACAAACCTGGATCTTTTTTGGGTTGGCAGAGATCTAATAACTGATTAGACCTCTACTTCATGCATGCATGGTATTTATATTGTCAAGTTGTTTAACTATCTTTTTGGCAAAGTACTCAATCCAATCACATTAATTACTGGACCTAACTGTTAGTTTGTTTATTTTAATTATTTGGAGTTTGTTTAATCAATTTGTACTATTTTAGGCATAGACATGGGATTCTTTGATCAATTTGGAGTTTGTTTAATCAATTTCTCCTAGTACAAAAATACTGTTTATAAAAATACTGTTTCCTACCATTAGACATCCTCAGGATCCGTGGCGCAATGGTAGCGCGTCTGACTCCAGATCAGAAGGTTGCGTGCTCGATTCAAGTCGGGTTCAATATATGGTTCTGTAGTATTTTTACCCAGATCATCCTTTTTATGCCTTAATTGACCAGAAGCACTGAAGCAGCGAGAACTCCAACAAAACCAGCATCCTTGAACTGAGATAGTCTTAATGCCCCCCAAACCATAAGGATTCTAAGTTACAAAAAACAGCATCCTTTCTTAGTGCCCCTAAACCATATAAGAATTCTAAGTTAAGAAAAGTGAAAACTCATCATTGAGTTGCCAAGTGTCCTGCCTTACAACCGACTGAACCTCTACAGGCCAATGACGAATTGAAGCTGCGTGTTCAGCAAGAAACCCATGAGCAATCCCATTGATCTCGACCCAAGTAAAAGCTGGTTTCTTACAGACTTTTTGACTAGCCATCTTCCTTACCTTCAATGCATCTCCACTTCTGCCTGCTGCCCAATACACGTTGTGCAGCATTGCTTAAACTCCATCATCATCTGGCTGCAACTCAATGGCCTTCTGCCCAGCCATTTCAGCTACACCCAAGTTCCCATTCACCAATGAAGCACTCAACAGAGACCGCCAAATAACTGCGTCCGGGGTGATAGGCATCTTGTTGACAAACTCAACAGCTTCTTCTATACGTCCCACTCGGCCGAGAAGATCGACAATGCATCCATAATGCTCAATTCTGGGGTATAAGTGATGGGTGTGAATCATTTCGTAGAACACCTTCTGTGCCTCGACGAGAAGCCCTCCATGGCTGCAAGCTGTTAGCACTGATAAGAACGTTACAGTATTCGGAATAGCTCCTGATTCCAACATGTAGCGGAAAACAGCAAGAGCTTCCGTTCCTTGGCTGTGGAATGCATAGCCTGATATCATGCTTGTCCATGAGTAAACATCTCTGTTCCGTATATAATCGAATATCTTTCTGGCACAATCAGGACAGCCTCCTTTTGAATAGGAATCTATTAAAGCATTGCTGATGGTGACACTAGAATCCGAAGAAGACTTCCTGATGCAACAATGGATAGCCTGGGTTTGATAAATCGAACCGATATCAGCAGAGCCTGAAAGAGCTGCTACAAAGGTTACAGCCGTGAGAGGGCAATCTCCAGCTGCTTTCATCCGCTTAAACATGATAAGACCTTGAACTGGCATCTTGTGCTGAATGTAGCCCGTTATCATTGAGTTCCAAGCTACATCATTTCTGCTCGGCATTTTGTTTAATACTCTTCTAGCAGAGGCCAACTTGTTGTTCATCACCAACCCATTAAGCAAACTAGTCCATGAAGACAAATCCTTGACAGCAATCATATGCTTAAACACCAATTTTGCTGCACGGATTCTCTCATTTCGACAGTACATGTCTACTAACGCATTACCCAGAATCGGTTCTGACCCCATGAGCTGAAACCTGAGTATCATCCCGTGAACGATCCTGCCCCCAATCAAATTCCCACCTCGCCCACAGGCAGAGAGCGCTCCCACTGCTGAAAAGCTGTCAGGTGGAAGACCACAGTGAACCAGCTGGGAGAACACCAGGAACGCTCGGCCTGGAAGTTGGTCCTGTAAGTAGAGATGGATGAGGCTGGTGAAGGACACGATGTCTGGGCTGGGAATTTCATCAAACACCTTCCGCGCGTCCCTTGTCCCGCCAAATTCCGCGTAGCGACTCAACAGCTTGGAAGCTACGGATTGATGGGCACGGAGCAATCCAGATATCACGGCTCGGGCATGGATCTTCTTCAGAGATTCCAGCTCCCCACAGTTTCGAAGTAAAAGCTGCAACTTCCTCTGGTTCATCCTCCAAACATAACATCCTTCAGTACGCAGCGCAGTGTTAGCTTGCTCTGGTTCGCGCCCTTCCAAATCATCAAGAAATTTCACGAGGGAGTTCAATAGCGGAGCTTCTGGGTTCTTGGTGATCGGAGCAGCCCGTACGACACTGCCGATATTGAAATTGAGATTTCGGAGAATCCCATATGAGCTCTTAAGTAGGTGGAGCATAACTTGTGCATATTGTATATCATAAAGCTTCACAATTTGTGGCAATGGCTAAAGAACAAAATTGAATTTTTATAGTTAATTTAGACCGCACCCAAGATGGGCTGCCTACGTACCCCGAATTACAAAATTCCCAAAAAAAAAGTTCATCCCTTTCGGGAATATGGGAGGGGATCAGGTCTACGTAGTTCTTCTTACATTCATTTACAAAAAGAATCAAATCATGTCTTCTTCTTCTTCTCTTCTTCACAATTCTTCGATTCGCCTACCAAATTCCAGCCTGCCTCCACGAGCTACGCCGGGAACTTGAATCATCCTCTGGAACGTCCCGGCAGCGTCTTCTGTACGATACACGGATCCTCCTAGCATCATCATCTTCCCAATGCTGCGGCGGTAGTAGCTTCCCCGATGGTCTTCGAAACCCTTTGCTAATCACTTGAACAGAGCTGCGGCAGGTGGTCCTCCTCCATCCCTCCCGCGGCGTAGACGGCTTTAGCTCTTCCGACGCTCTCCGGTATCTTTTGCTTGTTACTTTCACGACTGGAACAGAGCTGCGGCAGGTGGTCCTCCAACTCTTGGGCGGCGGAGGCGTTTCCTTTTCCGGCGCTCTGCGGTATCCCCTGATATTTACTTCAACTGCTGGAATAGGGCTATGGCAGGTGGTGTTGCATGTCTTCAGCGGCGGTGGGGGTAGCTTCACCGGTGGTTTGTGATCCCCTTTCCTCAATACACTAACGGCTGGAACAGAGCAGGCGGTGGCGATAGTCCCTGAACCCTTGAGCGGAGGAGGAGGAGGCGGCGGAGGAAGCGGGAGATCTTCCTTCGGCTTGATCTGACACTCGGCGTCGAACTCCGACCTCAACTTCTCGTCGGAGAGGGTTTCGTACGCTTTGTTGAGTAGGCTGCACGCTTCCTCCGCCGCGGCTGTCGTCAGCGGGTCGAGGTCCTGATCCGGGTAGGTGAAACGGACCGGACCGATCAGCTTCCGGAGCTTGACGAACTGGTGAGTGATTCTCTCTGGGGAAGCCGTGCTGTGGTCTTGGATGCCCAGTACAGCGTACCAATCGATCGCCGAAAGCCCGATCCGCTTCAGAGCGGCTGCATGGACGCCGTACACGGCGAGGTACCGCTGAGTGCCGAGGCAACACGGATCGTTGCGGGAGACGAATTCCGCCATAAAGTAGGCTTCTTTCACTTTCCCAGCTCTGTAGAGCTCCTTCGCATACGCCAAGAAAGAGTCTCCCATGGCTGAATAGGGTTACGGGGGAGTAGGAAAGTCGAACGGGAAAGTGAAAGGAAAGGACTGAGACTTGAAACGAAAGAAAAGAGCTGAGTGATGTGGTTGCTGAGATGAAGTAACACAGTAATAATTACCTAATATATAATAATAAAGTAGGGCAGTCCTAAGGCGGTAGGGTTACTGTCCTACTACAGAAAGGAAAAGGTTAACTTGTCCTTTTCCCTAGCGGAAACGGGAACAAATAATACGAAAGAGGCCCAAGAAAGGTAAAACAGAAGCGGCAAAAAGGGAAAGAAAAGCCCAACAAAATCAAAGTGGAAAGAGACATCAAGCTCAATGTTTAATGGGTCACTCAGCCAGTCAAAATGAGAAGAAAATCTTAAAAAAGAAACAAAAAGAGAGAAGCCTGATATATGATCAACTGTGTTGGTTATGTACACAAAACCACCCTATAACGAGTTTCCAATACTCTAATTTTCTAATGCCAACCCGCAAAGACTCGTCCGAAAGTTTCTGGGCCAAGATAATGCGCAAGTAATCTTCGCCCTCCCACAAAAAAATACACGACCCTCAACACCAACATCATATAATATGGGACGGATAATATTAAATTGAATCGAAACCTCCTTCCTCCTCGCCTTAAATTCTATACCCAGAGGAACCCGGTGGCGCAGGTGGCAACCGGTTCGGAGTGCGGCGGCCACTCGCATTCACGTCTCCATTCTGTGATGAGTGTCGGCTGCGGCCGTTTGATGAAGATCGGCCGTAATCCACCGAGCCATTGGCGGCAGCATCAAATGCGGATCTCCAGTCGTCACCTACAGGTGGACCGTTTGTCCGAGGGCTGCTCTCTGCAATGGAACGAATCGAGAAACAAATTAAATTTAGCACCAAACTGAGGTGACCTTGAAAGGAAGCGGGTTCTCTCGAGGAGGGGGCAAAGTTAGATTGTACCTGCACTGCCGTTGGGCATGGTGGAAGCAGCAGCAGCTGCAGCCCGATTGTCGTGAATGCTGAGCTGGCGTGTTAATTTAGAGAGCAGCGACGACTGCTTCTGGTACCGCTCTCTCTTATGCTTTACATTGTGGTCCTCTTGAAGCAACTCTTCGATCCTTCCAGCGCTTTGAGCACTACACGTTCCAGAAAATTGATCAGGCGGCTACGAAAAGCACAATGGATGATGAGGAAGTTGACTAAGGAGAATCAGTCAAACCTGACAGAGCTGTAGAGCTGGTTCAACATATCTTCCTTGGATTTTTCCACTTGGCAAAGCACTACTGCCTGCTCATTAAAACAGCAGTAAAATATTACCACAAAGTGCAATGTCATCGTCGAGGAAATAAAGGGAACACTAATTGAGGGAGCTCACTTTAGGAACATTAGCAGCCAAGCTATTCAAAACTGCTTCGACATAACCCCGGACTTCTTGGGACATCCATCGAAGCTCCTCTTCAGGGTCTGCAGGCCTTCGAACCATTGTATCCTGGAAAATACATTCAGTTTTGAGTTAACAAGGGTCGACCAAGAACTCTAAAAAGAACACCCTAACTAACCATCTGGAAATTGTCACAAATAGAATGAACGAAATGCAACTGCAGCTATAAAATAGACTACTCAGGACGAAAAATATAAGAAAAGGATGCAACAGAAAGAAAGGAGAGAATTAAAGAACATACCAGCGAACCATCGGAGAGACTCTGGCGCATAGTGGGACCACCATCAGGGGAAGCACCCCTAGGCTGTGGTCTTGAAATCTGGGCAATTTTCGATATTTTGCTGATCCACTGAGCCTTATCAGCAGCACTCTCAGCCTTCAAAATAAGTGTACCATGGGCTGCAGGGAAAATGGAAGACTTTAGGATGGGAACTGGCACCTACTAATCAGACACCAAGTAACATGAGCAATTCCAGGAAGCAAAGAACTAGAGAAAAACACATACTTTTAACAACTGTTTTGTAGGGAACCTTGCTACTAATTTTGAAAACCAGATTGGACCCTTTGGAATCTGGTCCATTGGCTTTCTTATCTTTTTTATCCTTTTTATCTTTTACTGGGGGTTCTTCATCCTCAACAATATCTTCAACATTGCACTCCTGAAATAGTGAGAGGATGATAATCAGTGAATCGCTATGAAGTAATACCATCTCAAATCAAACAGCAAGGCTTTTTCAGAATCATGTACTCATGGCAATCTCAGCAAATCATGAATGGTTAACTGGTGTAAGTCTTAAGATATATATCTTAGTACACAAACCTCCTACAGGCCTATAATGACAAAATATACAATAAAAATTACATACACCCAAAAAATACCAACTAGTTTAAACAACATATATGAGAAGTGCACAAATGATGGCATAAAGCCAGCTTTCAGGCCTATAACGAGCAAAAGGGCAGTCACATTAATATATGCGGAAATGGATATTTCCATGTTGCTTAATAGCATCCAGGACAATGACACGCCTGTTCAACTACAACTTATTGGAGGACTCAATATCTAAAGTTACAGACTAAAAACTTGGGTAAGCTTTCCAATGTGTTTGGTTTCCCAACCAATTAAACACGGATAAAAAGTGATTATATTGCAGGAAATGAAATATACACAAGAATAAAGTCCCTTTAAAAGCAAGAAAGGATAGCAAGAGGTTTAATACCTCTAAGGTGATCACACCACGAAAGTGTCTCTCTTCCTGCTTTTTGGTGTAACCAAGCTGTGAAACAAGACAATTGAATTAAATTAACAACCTCTCAATCAAGTACAGCAGAATAGAAGGATACACTGTGTGTAGGTCTTATTCGTCTCTTAGTATTTCTTTCATCAAGGCTCAACCAGCTTACACTTGGTGAAACTTATAGTCCGCGAAAAAACAATAAAATGAGGATGTAATGCCAAATGAAAACAAACCTTCCCAGACTTCTCATTCAAAACAAACCACCGCTTGGTCCACCCATCGGACTTTTTAACACTCTTTTTTAATAGAAAGCCTGCAGATAAAAGAGAATTGAGAAAACAGTATCAACACTATATGCTCAAGGGCAGTACAAAACACATTTTGAAAAAGTTCACTGAAATGACTCCATAAGTGAGAAGCAGCTTATAGGTATCCTTACAAGATTTAAAAAAAAAACAGTCTGAAACTACTCAAGACAACTTTCAAATGTAATATTTCCAAAACATTAAGAGAAGATAGAATAAAGGACCAAAGCAGGGACACTACTTCCTACTAGGCACCAAATCCACGACTCTCAGAGACAAGTACAGATCCACATTCAACTTCCAAAACCAACAATCAAAGTAGAACCAATATATAATGGTTTAGACACACAGCGTAGGTTGAATCATTCACACAAAACCCAATGGCATATGTATCGTCAGTTTGCAGAAGTTGGGTATTAAGAAAAATCCGTCAAGAATGCAAATATATCATCTTCTAATTTTGGATAAAAAAGCACAAATGAATTATTAACCTGCTGTTATTTCTCCTTCAGCCCCTGCAACTTTTAGAGAACCCTCTCCTTCTTTCTCTGACTGACTAGATTTATCTTTCAGTGATTTCA